ACCCTCTGTATGCAACACAGTCTCACGTCTTTTTTTAAATTTAGGTGTGTATATATTTATATCATCATCCAAAGTTGTTGGAACTGAAGTTGTTTAGGTCGAAGCTTAAGTTGCTTGCTATGCAATTCTTTTCCAAAGTGGTTTTGATTCAACATATAACATGTAATGTAAGTTTACCCAAAGTAATAATTCTAATATAACCAAACTCCTTGTTTGTGTGTGTGTTTTGTTTTGCGTGTTTGTTTGCTGAGCCACGATGGGGGAATATTTCCTGCTAGTTGGGAGGTCTGTGGCCTGAACCCACATCAATTTTTGCACATTATAAAGCACAGTGTGTTCTTATGTGTTTTTTTCTGTCCTCAGAAAGGATAGCAATGTATTGCTATTATTTTTGTACATTTTTCCATATACTAGTTTATAGGAAAATTGTTATCTCTACCTGATTTATGGTGTATGTTTGATTCATTCTTTGAATTTTCTTTAATATATGCTTGTTTGATGTTTTTCATAGAGGCAGGCTCTATCCGTATCAGACCGTGTGGTTCAGCTCTGCTGCTGGGCCAACTTGAGAGAAGATTGACCCTCAATCAAATCCCAATCACCTTAGTGATGAATGTGTTTGTCTGATGTGGCGGTGCCCCAACCCACGGCCCGATAGAAGAGAGTGACTCGTCTTTATTAGCGGCCTGTTATTGCATTCCCAGTGGGCCGGGCTGAGGCCGGTCATCAGGGAGAATCTCTGCACACATGACCGGTCAAGCAAACCTGAGGCCCGGCGGCAGAGACAGGCAGCAAGGGCCACAGGGAGGGCAACGAAATGCACAGTACTCCCTTTGAATGCTGGACGAGGGATGCCAGTGTGAGGGTCACTGCCACTTCTAATCAGGGTTCATCAAGATTCTCACAAACAATTTTGAGTGAATTGACTTTAGATCATTTGTCACGTCCTGTCATGACGCATCCAGCAGCTTATTCTTTCTCAAATCCCGTCCTCACATTGAATTACGATTTTGGGTAATTGACGGCTACATTCAAAACGCGTCTGAGGGCTGTCGTTCGCGTTTCTTCCCTGTCAAACGCTTTGGACCTCAGTCGAGCACCAACGTCTGCTGAGCCCATTCTCTGTTAACATCTTTCGGTGGAGAGGAAAAGGCGCAATGGAAAAAAAGCACATCGCAGACGTTGAGTCAGCCATGAAATTCAAGTATTATGACGTTGCGAGCTGCCTCAGCGTTGTGCCAACCTGTCGTCTCCTCCCAGACCTCACACAGAACATGTCTCCCTCTCTTCCCCTCCTGTGTCCTCCTCTCCCTCCGTCTCTGCCTCCAGGAATCTGTCGCACAACAACTTGACTCGTCTGGACGAAGGCAGTCTGGCTGTGCTCGGGGATCTCCACTCTCTCCGTCTGGGGCACAACTCCATCAGCCACATCACAGAGGGAGCCTTCAGAGGCCTCAAGGCCGTACGCATTCTGTAAGTAACTCCCCCCCCGCCCGCCCCGTACACCACACCCCCAACCCACTTATTATAGTTTGGCCACTTGCTGACGATAAGGCCAAGGTGTGCCGCTTGAGAGCAGTGAAAGCTGAGATGCTTGATATTGGGTTTTGGGCCCTGTGATATTTGATATTTGGGCTTACGTGGTGCCTTCATTTGAATCCAGAAAGCAGGAGTTGTTTACTTTTCAGTTTGATTTGACTGATTTGAGCTTTTTTCCGAGTTTCTATGGCAACTCCTGCTTTTTCCCCACTTTTCTCCTTTTGTGTGGTTCGGGCCTTTTGTTTTTCAACACTGGTTCCCAACCAACTTGGACCTAAAAGTGGTCTGTGTCCCTCGCTTCCCCCAAGACCCCCCCCCCCCCCCCCTCCTTTTTAAAAACCCATCTTTAAAGGAAAAAAGGTTTTTTTTTCCCCTGAACCACCCTTTGGACAAAAACCCCCAAAGGGCCCCAAAAAAAAAAAGGAGGGAATAAAAGGGAAAAAATCGGGGGGAAAAATCCAGGGAAAACTGGGGGACGTGGGGGGGGTGGTTCCGAACCAGAGTGCCTGGGGGGCCCTCTTTCCTTCAAAAAAGAAGGGGAGGGGAATACAACCCAGGGCCATAACGCGCCATAGGGGGTTTAGAAACTCCCATAAAACCAGGATAAAAGAGCCCCACCTTGACGTCCATATTCGAAAACCCTGTACGGTTTTCCTTTCTTGTCTTTAATTGCTTGGTTTCTGTTGGCTTCACCACTTTCAAAGCACACAACGGCCCATTTCTCCCCTATTGTGTTCTGCCATCTCCTCGGGCTATTAAACCCCCTGATACAGACACTGCCGCTATCTGCATCTCGGCGTGATCTTTGCCTTGTGCCACTCCTGCGCTCGGTGTCTTCTAGGCAGCCCTAATCGAATCAGCAGAGGGGGAGAGGCCGGGCCCTGAAAAGGAGCCGGTGGAGCTTTAATTGGGCCCCGCGCCGCTGGCCGCGCCGGCATGTGACTGGAGCCTGCATCGGGGTGTGAAAGCTCCAAACAAGCCAGCCTGCCCTCTAATTCGGCCACGGGGGTCGTTGGCTCATTGCCCCCGCCAATCTCTCCATGGCGTCCTGAATTATACATGTGCTTCCCAGTGATGATTTTTTTTTTTTTTCTTTTTTGCCTCGACACACCAACTCGTCCTCCGCCGCTCTACGGAAAGAATGCACTTGGCTGGCACAGCAGAGGGTCTCTTGAGGCCAGGTGCAAAGGGCGGGGGACGATGTGGGGGAGGGGGGGGGGTAACCCGTGACTTCAAGACCAGCCTCTGCCAGGACTGTGAAACGCTTCAGCGCTGGCAGACACTGCCCCCTCCCCTTCCCTCCCCCGTTGCATCTTTCTTATCCCCCTCTTTTCTCTCATTCTCCACAGGGAGCTGGACCATAATGACTTTTGGGGCCCAATAGGGGCCACCCCCGGGCCCTTTTTTGGATGGGACACCCCAAACAACCTGGGGGGGCCCCCCCCCCCCCCCCCCGTTCTTTCTTTTGCTTCCCTCCGCCCCTCCTTGTCCTCCCTCTGTCCGGCCCTTCCACTTCTCTCTGCTGTGCTTAAAAGCAAAAACAGAAAGGAGCTTTCTCCAATGGATGCAAAAGTTCCCCTCCGAGTCCCAGTTCCTCCTCCATTGCCAGCTCAGGTCAGCTGGTTCAGTTTAGGGGCTGCAGAGTTTGAGTAATCTGTCCCCTTAGGACCCCACACCTCACTAGGTAGGGAAGTAAAGGGACATAGTTCATGAAACATCAAAGGAAATATTGTACCCCGCGTCCTCCTGTGGAGGCTTAGGTCAGTTCCTCTCCGTTCAATCCGGCTTTTACTGCATGATTTTATTGTTTTGCTGTAACTTTATGGGCAAACTAGAGTCTTTGCTGCTAATGCTAAAAGTAGAAGAACAAGAAGAAGAAGAAGAAGACGGAGTGAATCATTACTGTCACAATTACTCATCAAGCAGCTAGTAAAAAAAAGTTTAATATCCAGAGTTACAAGCACGGACGAGGAGTCTCTGGCACCGACGGGCAATCATCAGTATGCAGGATGAGAAGATGATGTCCAGCCAAGATGGTTCCCAGTGTGAGCACCGCTGAAAGAGAAAGGGCCTTTCTCTGGGCCGGCAGGGGGTTGCTCCCCGATATGCTTGTTTCGATTCCTCCTCCCGGCCCCCGCTTTCCCAGTCCCTGTTGTTTGGAACTGAGAGAGGGTAAAATTGAGGGCCCGCATTCAGTCATCAACATCAAACACCCCATAGGCCCCGCCCCCTGACCCTGCCCCCTTTTGTCACGGCGTTGGCGGAAGCGGCCGCGCTGCATCCCGGCGCTGCCAGAGCGAGGCATGGGAAAAAAGGAGGCGCAGAAAGGGGAAGGAGGGCGCCAAACATCAAAGTGTCCGCCACGCACTCGCCGGCTTCTTCTCAAAGCGGCTCGTGAATGCCGCCACATGGGAGGCAAGAACGCCAAACGAACCCATGAACAGATATGGCGTTTTATTCAAATCAGAATGTCTTTGATGGGCTAATTCTCTATTGCTCCTTCGGTTCTTATCTCTGTTTGCGTGCACACGGGGTGAGTTAGAACACCGGGGTCTTCTCTTGAGAGCCGGCCGGCCGTGTCCCCTCTTCCTGTGGAGGGGGGGTTGGGGCCGTGCTCCGTGGGGGAAAAGAGCCGCCACACGTAAACACACAACCACGCCCGCTCACTGCTTTTTAATTCTAATAAGGATAAAGGTGGTCTTTGAAGAGCAGCGCAGAGACCCCCCCCCTTCCTCCTGGCTAATCTCCACACAGTTCATATTTCCAATATCTCAACCCCCCCTCCGCTCTTATCAGATTCTGCCTTGCTAATTGTGCTTCTCTCCTTCTCTGTTTTCACCTTCCTGCTTCTCACCCCCCTCCCCTCCCTCCCTGCCTCCCTCCCTCTCATCTATCGACACCCTTCATGTTTGGAAACGGCAGGACTCTGTTTGGAAACAAGATCAAGTCGGTGGCCAAGAAGGCCTTCTCTGGCCTGGAAGCCCTGGAACACCTGTGAGTATCCCACATTGCTCGGCTGCCCCTCCTCCCCGCCGGAGGGAGAGTAAGGAGAGTAGGTTGAGGGGGGGGGGGGGTGCGGGTTGCCAAAAGTTGGCAGAAAGCAGACTGCCAGCAATTTAATAGCGTCTTTGTAAAAGGAGAAGACGGAGGCCTTTGCGAGCCTCCAGCTGCTTCTTTCTCGTTAGCTTAGCTTAAGCTCAACTTGGGCCTTTTTTCGTCTGTTTCCTGTCTACACGCAAGGAAGAAAGTTATGGAGCATGTGGGGAGCTGCGCAGAAGAAACGGGATTCCTATAAGCCTTTTCACAGGGTTTCATCAAAAATACAGGCAGGGAGGGAGGGATGGAAAAGGCCTCGATAGAAGTCAGATCCTTGCTAATGAAACCGCCGTGTGTGGCTGTAATGTGTATTCAGTGGATGAGACTTCTGCCATGTGCCAACAGGAACCTGGGACACAATGCCGTTCGTTCCATCCAGCCCGACGCCTTCAGCAAAATGAGGAACCTCAAAAGCCTGTGAGTGGTGCCCCCGCATTGGCACAGCGAACGGCGAGGCAGATTCAGTTACAGGTGCAGTAGCCGTGACGCATATGCCACGTGTACTGACTCCTTTGCCTCTGCAGTCTCATTCAGAGCGACAGCTTCCTGTGCGACTGCCAGCTGCACTGGCTGCCCGGCTGGCTGGTGGCACGCGGCCTGCAGGTCGCTGTCAATGCCACCTGTGCCCACCCGGAGAGCCTGAAGGGCACCAGCGTCTTCCAGGCTCCGTCCAGCAGCTTTGTGTGTGGTGAGTTATGCTTAGGCTGCGTTAATGGTAGGGGGGGGGGGCAGGTTTTTTTTGTAGCTTTGCAGTTGAACTCTGAAGACATGCTAATTGCTCATTATGCGTGTTTTTTTTAGGTGGCTCCTTCACATTAATATATGCATAACCAACTCCGGGGCTCCTTTTCCTCATTTTAACATCCTGTCTTTTGCCTCCTTCGTTCCTCTACCTCTCCACCTTCAGATGACGTCCCGAAGCCCCAAATCACCGTGCAGCCGGAAACGTCCGTCACGGTCCTCGGCAGCGACGTGCGTCTCACCTGCACGGCCGCGAGCAGCAGCAGCTCCCCAATGACCTTTGCGTGGCGTAAGGACCAGGAGCTGCTTCGCCACGCAGAGATGGAGAACTATCACCACCACGCGCCCGGTGCGGCCGGAGGCGTGATGGAGTACACCACCATCCTGCACCTGCGGCACGTCACCTTCGCCCACGAGGGCCGATACCAGTGCATCATCACCAACCACTTTGGCTCCACCTACTCCACCAAGGCCCGCCTCATCGTCAATGGTAGCTTTCTTTTTTTTAATGTTATAGAAGCTAACATAGTCTTCCAGCAACTGAATTACTAGATCATCAGCTTCTTTGTTAAGATGGACTAGGTTATCATCACTGATCATTGTCTCACTGCGGTGAAAATGTTTACAAGTGATCCAGTGTCAAGCTAAGCGAGAATAAACAAAAACACTGGTAATATGTGCTGATATGTGTGTGATTACATAATCACTCCACCAAACACAATGCCTGTTTATGTTACACGCATGGGTTCGAATGCTCCCGTGTGACAGCGATTGAGATGAGTGGCCACGCTGTTCCTCGCCGAGCCGCCATCTCTCCTCGGATGGCATTCGGAACAAATTGATTTATCTGCACGTCGCCGCTAACGGGCCGTCTCCCTCTGTCGCTCAGCCGTGGAGGGTATTAATCTGCCCAAGTCTGCATCACACCTGCATTGTGGCACAATAGCAGAATCCTTCCTTGCCCGTTGCCTTGAGAGTTGTCAATGGAGGTCAGAGTCACGTGACCGAGGGGGCTGTGACCCCAACCGCTCCGGCAGCATCCGCCTCCAGCTGCGAAAGCATTTAAATCCTCGCAGAAAATGTCCACGCTGTTGAGCGCCAACCTCGCTCACACAATCGCCGTCTCCTCCGTCCACAGTTCTGCCGTCCTTCGTGAAGACTCCGCGGGACGGCACCATCAGGATGGGCCACACGGCGAGGCTGGAGTGCGCCGCCGAGGGCCACCCGACGCCGCAGATCGCCTGGCAGAAGGACGGCGGCACGGACTTCCCTGCCGCGCGGGAGCGCCGCATGCACGTCATGCCCGACGACGACGTGTTCTTCATCACGGACGTCAAGCCGGAGGACATGGGCCTGTACAGCTGCACCGCCAAGAACACGGCGGGGACCGTGTCCGCCAACGCCACCCTCACCGTGCTGGGTAAGAGCCTCCGGCAAGCGCCGTCGCATTTCTGACCGCCCGGTTTTCCCACATCCTGAAAAAGGAGCACTTGCAAATAGCTCGGCGCTCAGTTGGGAATTGGTCAGTCGGAGGACGACAGGCTCAATATTTTTTGTTTTCTCTGCAGCTGTGGCCTCGCCGCAGGTCAATGGCCAAAGGTCACGGGTCAAAGGGGGATGGGTGGGGGAAGCGAGGGCGACTCACAGAAGGGTGTTTGTTAAGCATTCCCACACACCCTCCCACCTTCTCCCCTCTCGGTGGGAGAGACAGTCATGGCTGCTTCACTGCAGGCCTCAGTGCTCCCAGTTTATTGGCTGTTTTACACCGTTAAATCAAACAAAACAGGGCGTCTCTCCTACAACCTCTCAGGACACAGATCATCTTTGTACTTTGTCTTTGAGCTGAGCAGAGAGTAAGAAGAGAAAAGGCAGGCCGGAATGGGGGGCGCGGGGGGGGTCTTTGCATACGTAACATAATAAACATAATATTTACAAGCCTTCAACTTGAAACCCTTGAAAGAGCTGTGATCAGATGTGACACTCTTACATATCGTGCACCTTCACAGCGGCTCAAGATGAGTGTTAATCCACCCAACAATGTAAAATAATTCCTGGACGGAATCTGTGATGTTTGGGTTTGAGAAACGGAGGGGAAGCAGAGGGGTCGGGAGGGGCTGCAGTTGAGGGGCCCCTGTCTGGAAACGAGTGGCGGGGGGATAAAATGGGCGGAATGGTGGAGTCAGTTTGTGGGGGAAGGTAGGCTGGTGGGGTTTAGAGAAGAAGAAAGCGGGTGGAGCGTAGTCGAGCGGTCCGGGGGATTGATGGGGAGTCACAAAGTATTGATAGAAGAGAGACCGGCGACTGAAGTGGGTTAAGTGAGATCTCTTAATCTGTGTATGTCCCACTGTGAGGGGAAGTGCTCAGTCTGAGAGGAGAAGCGCACACACACACACACACACACACACACACACACACACACGCTCAATGTGCTCCATTCAGCTGAATGAGAAGTTTCCAAGGAAACACTGAGAACGTTGTTCTGAGGAGGGTCCTGTCCTGTTGTTTGTGTGGCGTAATTAAAACGTATGACCGAGTGGGGCGATTACAGGACCTGTCCGCATCACAGAGATCACCTCCGATGTATAAATAGGACCGTTAAGACTGTCATAAGATAAGCTTTCTGTGGTCAGATATCAGAGTTGGAACATTTTCACTTTGTGCTCCGCGAGCTGACTCGGTGTGTGTCGTCGATGTCCCGTGAATCCTAATCCTCCGCCCTCCCAAACAGAAACCCCACACCTGGACCAGGACCTGGAGGACCGCAGCGTGGTGGTCGGGGACACCGTGGCCCTGCAGTGCAAGGCCCTTGGCAGCCCGCCGCCCCGCATCACCTGGCTGCGCAACGACCAGCCGCTGCGTCCCTCCGACAGGCACCACTTCACGCCGGGGAACCAGCTGCTGGTCATCGGCTCCGCCTCGCTGGAGGACGCCGGGCGCTACACCTGCCTCATGTCCAACACGCTGGGCACGGAGCGCGCCCACAGCCAGCTGGTGGTGAGCCGGAAACGCGGCGCCTGCCCACCGCCACCGGGCCTGAGCACGGTCACCGTAGGGATCGTGGTCATCGCCGTGGTGACGAGCATCGTGGTGACTTCGCTGGTGTGGGTGTGCATCATCTACCAGACGAGGAAGAAGAGCGAGGAGTGCAGCGTCACCAACACGGGTGAGCTTGGATCTGTCTCGTCCAACACCCAACACCATGTGTCGCCAGCCGCATGGTGCTAATGGTGCTAATGGTGCTAATGGTGCTCTCATTCCGTCCAGACGAAACCATCGTTCCTCCGGACGTACCGAGCTACCTTTCCTCCCAGGGCACGCTGTCCGAGCGGCAGGACGTGTGCATCCGGGCGGAGGCCGGCGGCGGACCTCAGCCCAACGGACACATCGAGGACCCCGCAGGTACCCCCCCCCCCAGTCTGATCTGCGTAGGACCCCAGCGACACGCTGGACTGCTGCTGATTGTCTGTGTTCCAAAGTCCTTTATCATTTGTTTCTTCTCCCTGCCTGCAGGTTTCGAGGGCGCGGCGGTGTGCACAGACTGCCTGGACAGCGGCAGCAGCTACTCCAAAGACTCCGACTACCTGACGCACAGCTTCGGCCACGCCGCTGGCCTGGAGTACCAGCAGTACTCTGTTCCCCCACCGTACTCCCACTGCTACCCGGTGGAGCACCGTGAGGCGGGGCCACGCTCAACCTCGCTCTGCAACGGGACACCCAACGGGATCCGGAGGGACGGATCCGCGTTTCCAAAAAACCACAACGCGTTACAGCTGAACCAACAGGATAAAAAAGGTAAGGGGTTCAGAGCGTAGCGGGCGTTGGTCGCACCCAGTGCTGCACATGCTAACACGCTGGAAAAGACACACACATCCAGTAGGCTGGATCATTTCTGTCATGTGATATCCTGAGAAATTAGGAATTTAGGAACCATTTGTCAAAGTGAATTCCCTTGAACATGATTTTGATTGGTTGGCTGTGAAAGGAATTTGACATTGTATCGTAGTTCCATTATAAAGAAACAAACTGGTCTGGGCCTGTTGTGGGATTCAGCCCCTTCAGCAGGGAGTAATACCCGTGGAATTGGCTTCCTAATGCCAATTCTCACCTCCGCACATCAACGCAACAGCGTTGTGCATACATTCCTGCATCCTACATCTGAACGCATACCTGTCAGCACACGTGACACGTCACTGACCTCTCATCCCCGCCGCCGTCTCTTCTCTTGTCTTATCAGTGGGCGGGGCGGGACAAACGCCGGCGCGCTCCCCATCACCGGAGGACTCCTTCCACAAGCCGGTGAAACTGTCCGGCAGCCTCGACAGCGACGGCGAGTCTGAGCTCAGGCAGACTCTGCTGTCCAACGGACACGCCCACCGAGGCTCTCCGAAAGAGAGCGCCCCCCTAAGGAGAACCAGCGACTAGCAGGCGCTCCCCCCCCCCAGCCCGAAAGCTGACTTTTTTATTTTGTTTGCACTGGGAAATAAACTGCTACCTCACGTCGAGGTGAGTTCATCCTGAGCCTCCTGGATCTGGACTGAAGAGAAGCACCAGGAGAGGGCAACCGGAGTGTGAAGGGCGGAGCTTGAGTGGGTGGCGTCCCATCTGAGCGTATCAGCTGTACATAGTTTAAAAACTTTCCTTTGGGAGGTGACCAATACAAATTCTAGCTCCAAAAAAATGTGACTTGCATTTGAAGCATGTAAATGTGGGGAATCTTGTACAGTATATGTATGTGCAGAAGGGGGGAAAGAGAAATATGCCTTTGGACATTTGACTGTACATAAGAGTTTTCTTATATTATATATTATATAACTTTTACAAGAGAGTATTTGAATTTATGTGCATGACAAAGAAAGGAGTGATTTTATTTTTATTCAAAAACAACACAAACAGCCTTTTTCAGCTTTTACCAACATTCTGCTGCGGTGCCTTAATGCATGATCAAAGAAAAAAAAACCAACTTGTGAACGCAAACGTCGAGAGAGACCTTTTTCTGAGATACTGGTTACGCTCTTTATAGCAAACAAAACACACAATTGATTGCACTTTCTTTTGGGACAACAGAAGCACAGCTCACATCCATCTTGTCAGCTGTATGAAGGAAGAGCTTTGATGTAAATTATTTTTCGGTACGTCTGAGCCGGGATATTGGTAGTTTAAGCACTTTCTGTATTTGCGTCGTAAACGAGTGGATTGTTGTCTGCAGATTGGAGAGGAACCTCCTTTGTTCCCTTCAGGCTCCTCCACCCGTTTCTCACAATACTGAGAATACCAGAGAAGCTGCTCTGTGGTGGTCAGCGGACAAAATATTTTGTCTCTGACTCAGATTAGTGTCCTCATTCGTCTAAGAAGGTGCGAGTCCAGTTTTGATGGGTTGTTTTTTTTTAACTCTAAAAGCCAGTAAGGTCACATTCACTATAAAACCTACAGCTACGTGCACTCGAGCACGGATATCGCTTCCGTGTCACTGCTGTAATGTTCCTCAACTACGTCCACCGTGGTGCATTCACAGTGCGAGCCGTGTTCCGTTACCAGCGGCCTTTGTCACGGTGAACTGGGAGGACGCGCCTCCTCGGTTACACCTGGCAGCACCTGTCGGAGGTGGTTTTTTACCAGCGAGGTAAAAGGGACAAGAGGGAGAGAGGTGAAGTTCACGTAATTTATTGAAAGCAAAATAAAGTGAAAACCGTTTTCCCGATGTCAAAGCTGAAGCCGTGAAGTGTCTAACGTGGCATTGAAGTGTCTAATAAAATCACATTTTGCCATTATTGCGTTTTTTTCCTGTTTTTTCACCCTTCCTGTGTGTAAACTGAGTGAAAAGGAGCAAATGGACAAATCACTGAGAAAACCAATAACTCACAACATCAGACATATATTGAACAAAAACTTAATTTACTCACTCGAATTTGTACAAATATTTGTTAGTTTTATGACTTAAAAATGAATATCAGCTCATCTCAACGGCCAACTGGGTACAAATGCCTTTGAGAACTGCTCCTTAAGATTTGAGTTCTAAAGGAAGTGCACAGAGTTAAGTTTTCGGAGCCTGCTAGTTTAGCTTAGGATTAAAACGAGCTCAGTCGACAGACTCAGTTAGCATTATCACATATGCAGAGCTGCTTGTCGGTGGCTTTTACCCAACTTCTTATGCTACGCTAACAGGATACCAGCTGCAGCTTCCTGTTTAAAGCACCAACACGATCGATCGATCCGGCTCAGACAGAAATAAACCACTTGAGTGAAAATCCATCTTTTCAAGTGGAGGATTGAACAGGTGCTACTTGTAGAACACCATTGCTCTATTGATAAACTAATCTTGGGTAAGGCAGCACTTTCAGTTAAAGATTAAGTCCCACCCCTGAAGCCTATAAGAGCTCCAATGAACCATCCTATAAAGACGAATATTTCCCAATAAGCCCGACAGATAATTTAACCCACATTAGTGAACATTGTTGCATTATTGTCGGCATCAGTAGGACGACGATGAGCTCAGCGGGAATCAAACCGTGACACTTTACCGTGTGCCTCCCCTGGTGGGTCTTCTAACAAAGGCGGCCTAGCAGAGGAAAATATGGATAAAACACTAAACTGATAATAAAACCGCGTAGAGGGAGATGTACGGAGTGACTCCCAGAGGACCAACGCACCTCAAAGGATAAAAAGAGACATTCTTTAATGGCCCAGCTCATCACTTTACACACACACACACGTTTAACAGTAAAGATGGCTCATCTCTTGCGAGGGCGTGGCTCCATTTATCAGCCACAGAAGTGCTTGAGCCCGGCCGGTTTCCCTCGGCGCCCCGATGAGTAGGAATGCGGCACCCTGGGAAACGCTCGGGGAACAAGGCTGCTGCCTCCACAGCTGCTTCCTCCCCCCCCACCCGACCCTCTGCTGTTGGACCACACCACGGGGGGCGAGCTTCTACAGCAAAGAGCCGCGGACCTTCTCGTAGGCTCCCAGGAAGATGAAACCTCCCACGCTGATGAAGGCCGTCCTCGGTACGCTGCCCGCGAACAGACTGCAGGGAGAGACGAGAAGGAGCGACGCAGGCTGTGAATCCTCAAATCACGACTACCAACGCAAACCGTTACAACACAGAGGAATCAATCGTTTCATCCCGCCCACACGCTACGGAGATACGTGTGATCAATAGTCTGAGCCAGTTTGATAGATTTCTTATTAAAGCCATTAAGACAAATGTGCAGAAAATATATACTTGTTTATTGTCTATATTTTCCCCCAAGTGGTTTGCTGTGTCAACAGTTACAGAATAAAGTAGCTCTTTCTTCTCTACTTCTCCGAGCTGAGCCCTCTGCAGCTTTATTTACCCGCACAAAACGAAAGAAAACCCCTGTGAACAGCGGAGGGCGGCTCCGTATCGGGTATCGTCCCACCGACCCAACGGATCTGGTTTACGAAGCCTTCGTGGAACCCGGGCCTCGTGTTCCGGTGCAGAGGGTCCATGGGAGCAGGTCTAGCATGAGGCCTTGTTGGGGGGGACTGGGCGTGGTCCCCCCCCCCCCCCCCGAGCGCAACAAGAAGCTGTTGACGTTGCTGGGGGGGTTAGAGGATGTCATCAGCCATGAGACAACCAAGACACCCCCCCCCCCTTCCTGCTACCCACAGCTGTTTTGGGGATTAGGCTTCAAGCCCCCTTCCCTGAGGGGGGGGGGGGGGGGGGGGGTCGGTCTCTCTCTCCCTCCCCTCCCATGTCTGCGTCATTCTCTCACACACACGCTCACTCCGCCCCGTCTGTTCGTCGGCCTTCTTGGGTTTAATTACTTTTATTTTTCCCCCATTTCTTTCTCTCCCTCGCTGTGAATTTGACTTCCACATCTCCCTTTGCTAATCCCCATGCTCAAGTGGTCTGGTCCTATCCAAGCCAGATGTGCTGGATGAAGAGTATAGTGTGTGTGTGTGTGTGTGTAGAAAAGTCCATGCACACAAAATGACAGTGAGCCAGCGTTCATTCAAATAGGTGGACCATTTTCGGGTTATTTCGCCCTTTTAGAAAGACCGTACTTCCATACTGTCACTTCACTCCAGAAAGTTCTGACCCTTAAAGTGCAGCCTTTTGAGTGTAAATCTAAGATTTGGGTCACATGACAGCACGTCAGCGACCTCTCAGCCATCCAAACTATTCACGCAACTCCACCTTTCAGAATGCCTCGGCCCCGATCGGGTGTTCCTAACAGTCAGCCAGTGAAGAGAGTGCGAGTGTGTGTGTGTGTGTGTGTGTGTGTGACAGAGAAACCAAGTGCGCTGGTCTAAGCACCGACTGGCGTAAAGGCCGCAAATAAGCGCAGAGACATTAGTCAGAAGTGGAGCCCGTCGGCGTGCGCTTTCCATCACCGTCTGCTGGAACACGAGACCTGCTGCAGGAAAGTACTCAGCATCACTACACAACACACAATATCCAAAGCAGATCAACGTCCGACGACAAAGACGTCTGCACACAGCAGCTGGACGGCTAAACAACAACTCGGGAGACGACATTCTCCCCTCCAGCTCCCCGAGTGATCGCCAGCACTGTGAGGAATGAACTCATTTTAAACTCTGCGCTGCTTGTTTTGTCTCAGCTCTCTGGACTACTGTTACATTTCCTGTCTGGGATCAGACCCACCTGTGGATTCTGAGACGTCAGAGTGGACGACAGCTCAGACCCTCCCCCACCCCCCCCCCTCCTTTCCCAGAGTGGGCTGATTCACTCTGACATCACGGCCTGGCCAGCCGCAGAGAGCCGTCATCTCCCCATCGTCGGCCAATCCCCTCTCCTGAGGAATCGGGCTAAATATAGTTCCAGAACTCAAAAGGCAAAGTAAACTGGTTTAGAAGAAGTAGAAACAAGGCAGCTTCTCACCAGGGCGAAGCACTAGAAAGACGCCGCTTGTGGTCCTTCATTAAGAGAGAAAGAGACCGTTAGTTCCTTCAATAGGAGATGGGTACGCATTGCGATGCAATCAGAGCGCACGTCAGTTGCTGCGGACGTGTCGTCCGTCCACTGCCCCCCCCCCCTGCATGGGGCTTGGAGGACCCGACGCTTACTAGTCTTTGTCGTGACCCAGTTCCCGGTGCATTCTGGGTACTGCCGGTGCCGCTGCTCTCTGTTAACCAGCGGTCTCTGGGGCACGGCACACACACATGGAAGCACTTTAGAGCTTCACTACACTGCAATTGGGCCTATTACCATAATTACAGCTTTAAAGCCCCAGCAATTTGTACCAGGCATGCAGCAGCGCAACCACCGGGCCCACTTTGGCCCCGCGGAGCGACGCCCCCCCTTTAGCGCTCCACATACTCGCTTTTCTCTTTGTGTTTCGTTCTCCTAGTTGCCCCCCCATCACGTATCATGTTGAGGAGCTCACGCTGCGGCTCTGAGTGGGTTTTAGAGTTTGCTTTGCGGCATCAAAGAGCTCCACCGAACATCACCACTTGCTTGCCGTTGCAGCTTAAGGGGGGAGGGGGGGGATGAGGGGTTCGCCACAGCGGCCCGCCAACCATCACCTCATTGAGATCGTGCCGTAGCCATTAACATGAGCTTCATTCAAATCGAAGGCTGGCTCGTTACTGATGCCTGAGAGCAGTTTGTGGGGAATCCCCCCCCCCGGCTCATTTTAAATACAAAGCTGAAATGCAATTTGTCTTTGATTCCAGCACGAGCAAACAATAACACAGTGGCTTGTGTTTGCAGGCACAGAGAGAGAGTCCCAAACCGAATCTGCCACGAGCATTAAGCCGAGGCTCATCTCAACTAAATGATGGCGGCCGATTACTCACCGCGGCAGAGGGTTTGTTTTAGTGCCGGCAGCCCTCTGCGGCCCCATTAGACCCGGCCTTTTGTCCAGCGTGCATCATAAACACATCAAAACACTCAAATAAACGCTTCCACTTGGCCCCTGAATCAATAGGACACTGGGCGGGGAAAAGCTTTTAAAACATGTCATTTTTCAGCTGCGGTCGTAAATTCACGTCCCCCCCCCCCCCTGACAAGAGCGGCTCCCTCATCACACCTGATTTGTGGTGGAGGGGGGGGGGGGGGGGGGGCCCTTAAATAAAAACTTTTCAAATGGGCTGAAAAAAAGAAGGGTGCCCTGAAAAAGCGGTTCCCTTCCCAACAGTCCTGAAGGCCTTTAGGCTTCTTCCACAGGGAGAAACACACACACACACACCCCCTCACATACGCTTTCCCCAAAATGGCGTGTGTTCTTCATCACCCCTGGAACACCAGCGGGATGTTGTCACTCCCCGCGGTCCATCCCGCCTAGAAAGAGAAAAGAAGAGAAAGAAGCGTGGAGACAAAAGGATTGTCTCCTCCACTTTCTGCGTACCCCAAGGACACCCCGGTTAGACTTTCTCACCTGGGACTCCGTTAAATTCCCCCCATGCCACTTTTTGTCACATCCTCCCCGCACTCTCCTTCTGATGTCTCCTCAGACAGCTGTTGAGAGCCAGAGGGGAACAACCAGCCCCCCTACCCACAAAAACTCGCTCTTTGGTACTTGTTGGGTGATCACGCGCCGCTGTGTGCCACCCCTAAAGAAAGAACCCAATTTTTCCTTCTCCTCGGAGCCCCCCCAATAAAAAATTTAGTGTAGAAAATAAGAGCTACCTCAGGCGCAGAGCTGTCTCATCAATCATCTGAAAAGTGTGGGGGGGGGAGGTTTTGATAACCGTTGGATACGGAGGTTCAGGGTAAGTGAGTGTGGGTGGTGGTAGAAACACAGAGACACCGTGCAGGACACTGTGAAAGAGAAGGGAGCATAATGTGTGTGTGTGTGTGTGTGTGTGTGTGTGTGTGTGTGTGTGTGTGTGTGTGTGTGTGTGTGTGTGTGTGTGTGTGTGTGTGTGTGTGTGTGTGTGTGTGTGTGTGTGTGTGTGTGTGTGTGTCGTGACTTGGGACTCCCAGATCTGCTGGAACGAGAAAAAGATTCCCACTTTTCATTCAAGAGATGTGAGAGAAAAAAAGGCCCTATTATTCATGTTTCTGTTGGAGACATTTGACTTAGTTTTATTTTCCTTCACCACTGTGGAACTCTGGACGGAGAAGAGGGTGTCCCACACACACACACACACACGCTGAAATACAAAAATATCTTCAGGCAGCTCAATCCATACATGTATTTGTGTTGTTCAGTCATCTTTGTGTCCTTACAGTGTGAGCAGTGATAACATGCTCCTCACATGCTCTCGACATCCACGCTGATCCATGCAAGGAAGGAAGATGTTGCCAGAGCGGCGGGTCAGCGCCGTGCGGGCAGGAGCCCCGCCCTGGAGGGTGTGCACACGTCCAGCTGTGTTCTGCAAGTCCCGCCCTCTTCGACCTCGCCCGGCTGCCTGCCTGCCACACAACGCCAGCCTTTCATTCTGCCCGCCGCAGAAGAGAGAGAACCTTCACGTCTGCTACTGTGGTGACGGAAACTGGCGTGACAAGTCCCAACACTCACACTTCCTCCCCTGCGTCCAACCCAAACTATCCATACCCATCAACACCGGCCTCCCGCTCTCCAAACAGCCTCCTGCCTGGACTTGTCATCCCTTGCTGATGTGGAGGTTTAAAGATTGAAACCAAACTTCTAGTCTGACACTAAAATAATGGCGTCGAAAGAGACGCAAGCCTAGAAAAATGGCTCGACACACGCAAGGAGGTGTGAAAAGGCACCCAAGGGACACGCAAGGGGGTCTTGCGTTTGCGTCGCTCTGAAAACGCAGAAGCACAAACTTATGCAGTTAGAAGCGGGGCTCGCGGCGCCGGCCGGGTCCTCGGCCGCTGGTGAAGGACAGCAGCCGCCTTTCAAAACACGTTCTCCAGGAAGCTTTTCGTTCCGTGCCGCTCCGCCGACAGCCGACGCAGGAGATCGAGACGGCCCGAGTGTTTGGTCAATTCAAGGACCTCATTAATTAGTCTGGTTGTCCGGGGGCCAGGAGGGGGGGTGGAGGTGCAGCGACGGAACACTTTGACTTCTCCAAGGACAGGCGGTGTGTGTTTGTTTGTGGGGGGGGGGGGTGTAACTTTGAACTCGCTACCCTTTACACACACAGAAAGAACAAAGTGAGGGAAGCCAGGCACCCAGTTAGAGCGAGCCAGGAGCAAAAGAGGTGGACAGAGGGAGGAAGAGGAGGGACACCACTGCACCGAGAGAGAGCGAGACACACAGACACAGAGAGGCCTCAACAGAAGGGACACCGGCCGTCTGGTTCACCTCTTAGTGACAAGCAGCCTTGGGATGGAAATTCCACTGGAGCAACAACAATTCCTCACTCTAACAGTAACCATGTACCCAAACACGTCTTCCCGATAGCGTCCGTGTTCCAGGTCAGATGATGGATGTGCGCATGCCTCACTGCTGTCCCCGCGCTACCTCCGCCTGCTTTGTCCCGTGCGCGGACACCGTTGAAATGCGCTCAGGCCCGATCGGCTCGCTCTGCCTGGGAGGCGTCACCTGACAGCAGTGTTTAAAAGTGGCTGCCAGAGGAGGAGGTGTGCGCTCGGTGTGTTTGTATACCTTTGCGAGCATGATCCTGGTCTTCGCCACGTCAAGAGGAGTGGTAACAACTGCCGCTACTGCACCTACGAAAGACACACACAAAGTGCTGAAATAAAAGGCTCTCTTTCCTGCAAGGAGTCTTTAAACATTGAAAATAAACCCTGTAAAAAAGTCCAATTACTTACAAGGGTTGAGTTTACTTCATAAAAACGCCAATATTCCCCAAGACTTTTCCTGTTATTAGGCCACAAAATCCAGAAAGACACACTTCTATTCCCACCGCTGGATCAGAGCCACACACACACACACACACACACACAGTATGCCTAAGCATAAACACAAAAACAGTTTGATAGATTCAGATTATCACACATGGACATAATAAAGCCCACATATGTGCGCACAATCACACACACGCCAATTAGTTTTATAGAGCAGTTACACCCTGACTTGCCTCCATCCCTTAAAGTTGGATGGGCGGCAGAATCCAGAGGCTCAGTATGTGAAAGTGAGTGTGTATGTGTGTGTGTGTCACTCAGCCACAAACATAGCAACTGTGCTCGGTAAACATTTCCACACGTGTGTGTGACTGAGTGAGCCGAGGATACAGGAAAGCATTCGGATCAGGGTGCAACACACAGGTTCATTTTACTGCAGGCTCGTTAAAAGATGAGGATTTATTTATTTATTAGTTTCCTCAACCTGGGTGGATAAATGTTAAGCAAGGGTAAACATTCATGCTGTACTGCTGTACAGACTGTTTTGTGATATCAGTAAAAAAAAAAAAAAAGGACTTGGATCCTCAGAGGATCTAAATTCAGCCGGAGAAAGCGCGTGATTAAAGTGATGTAATCTCGTCTCTGCCCAGGTCCTTTTTTTTTTTTTTTTTTTTTTTTTTTTTTCTTTTCCTCCTCCCTCCCACCCGCCCGTTGACTCCAATGGGGTCAAGTCCATCGAGGGAGTCAAGGGTTACAAGTGGAGATATTCAGGATGATTAAAAGGCGCCTGTGTGAGCATTTCCAGTGTCAAACAGATTAAGTATGAGTGAGTGAGAGTGAGGCGCGATGTAAAGGGGAAGTGACTGAAACATGAGGATCCCTCTTGGACAGCAGCTCGGTCGCTGAGGGACGAGAACTTGATTCTTGCGTGGGGACCCCCCCCCCCCCCCCCAAGTCTTTCCTTCTCTACTCCCTCAGAATGCCTTTCATCCGTCCAATTCAAGCTTATTTCCAATAACGTACATCATTATATTATCATTAAGGTTGGAATCCAAACATTATGGTTCATACAGTTTAGTGTGCGATGAAATAACCTTTCTCGTAAAACACGACTGGTATCAAAGTCACTTTTTTTTTTTTTCTTCCGCATGTCTGTCAGTCAATCTACCCCATATCTCTAATATTCTATTCAGGTTTCTTTCTCTTCCCGTCCAGGGCCACGTCTCAGCTCCTTGGTGTAATGTTTCCACATCTTCTTCTTCTCCATGTTGCCATGGCCCCAGGAGAAGCGAACCTCCACTCCCCTTCTACTGTCTGGAGCGTCGCAGGAGTTATGGACTGAAATCATGCATTTTATTTCATCTTTAAAGAGGTGGATGTAGATTTCAATCCTTTAGAGTTACAATGCTGAGAGGTTGAGGTCAAGCTGAGCTGAACCCTGGGAGACCGGGTCCGAGAAGGCCTCGAATCAGGATCCAACTTTACAAACAAACAAAAGCTGATTCCAAGTAAATCCTATTCGTCATCAGATATCTTAAAATAATAGAGTGGAAATAATGAGTGGATTCGCCATGCTGTTCCCATTAGCTAGAGAGGAATAAGAGAAAACGTTTGTTTTACTTGCTTTCTTGGCAAGGAGCATGGAATATAGAGGCTAGACGGCTACAAACACATTAGATACATTAGGTTGGACTGAGAGTTTTGTTTGGAAAACTTGTAAATCAACATCAACTTAATAGCAATCAGTTGGGAAATCAGTACCAATCAGGGTTCGGGTCCATCAATTCTCGGTTATCATGGGTCTGCATACCAGCTTTCAGACAATAGACTGGTCCGCCAGCTTCTCCAGACCGTTCTCTCTGGTCACAGCTCGACTGTACTGTGCCTTCATGTCAGTATCTGGCCACCTTTTCCCTTTCCGTGCCTCTCTATCAACTTTAAACTTAAAAAGATCTTTCAAAAGATAGAAAAGCACAGACAGATAGCGTCCATACACACCTTCGTCCAAGCACAACATACGCGACGAGGACAGCTGCAATCTTGAGATCAGCCGAACTGAAGCCACACAGGTGGTTCCACTTATTCTGACTGATTAGACGCGAGGTTGGGAGGAGTCATGCTCGGAAACACGCGACGTCACAGGACTCAATGGACCAATAAGAAGAGTTGGTGTAGGAGCAGCCGTGGGTCGACCCGCCCTAACAGACACATATAAACTACCTGACTAACTAGTCAGGTGGAAGCCAATGTTTAATGAATGTGATAATGCTGATTGTGTGCAAATTGAACTAAATTTGACAAAACTCAAATGGCTGCCCAGATTTCTTGCAGTTTGATAAAACAATATCCTTGACGAGGTCGGCACTGGGCCGTGACCTTTTCTCTCTCTTTATCTTGACGTGGAATTCAAACCGAAAACCATCAAACGCAGAACTATTTATTGCTTGTGTTTTACAGCGGCCGATGGAATCCTCTCTAGTTCTTGCCTGTTCCTTCCCCCCTCTATCCATCTTGTTTTTTAGTCCACTCCACTTCCCCTCGTTCATTCCTTTCCTGCGCCTTTCTCTCTCCCTCTCCCTCTCCCTCAAACCACTTCAGGCCCCAGTGCTCAGGAGGTCACACAGCTGCAGGGGCCCATTCCCAGGAACCGGCCCATCTCATCCTCCCTTTGTTGTCCGCCTCTCCCCTGATACTCGCCCAGACTGAACCGTCACGCACAATCATACCGGTCCGCTTTGGTAGGATTTTTGTATTTGCCAAGCATCTGAATAACTCTGATAATGAACCACGCAGACTCCCTGTATTAACATGTGCTAATTTAGTGCTGAACAATGTCTAAGAAATTGGCTGGATTTGCTTCCGCTCTTCTCTACTCTGATCTGCTCTGCAGGTGAGGATCCCCCAGCTGCGCTCACCTTTGTGGAACCTAAAAAGAAAATTGCTTTGCCTCGTCATCTATTCACCAATCCAGCTATCAATTTATCCGTGCTTCCATTCGTCCCTTCTACTTCCCTCCCTTCCTCCCCCTTTCCCCCCCAATCCGCCTTCCCCGCTTCTTTCCCAAAGCAGCAAATAATCCCCTGCACCTGCAAAAGCTCCGCACACTGCAGCCTGCCAAGAGTAGAGCGTGTGACCTTGCCTCCGCGACCACAGAGTCTGGGAGAAAGAGAGGGAGACGTCGAGAGAGAGAAAGGGAGGGTTGTCGATAGAGGGGCATGATGAAAGAGGGAGAAAGAGGGAAACAAAGAGGGAGAAGATTGCAGTTAGTGGGGATATCAGACACATTGAAAACACATTGTGAACCTTGGTCTGCTCTGGGCTCCGGGGCCCGCAGCTGGGAACCGGGCCGTCCGGCTATTTTTGTGCAGCCTTTTTCTCCCCAGTGATGTCATAGTATTTGTTTCCCAAGAACCGGGACGGACGGGAGGGAGGCATGAGAACGCTGCTGCTGCTGCTGCTGTCTCCCTCATCCCGGCATCTTTGGTCCAGATGCCACGGTGGTGAAGTCCAGTAGGTCAACGCAGATTAGCTTATCACACGCACACATCCACACACTTTTATTTTCTTTCAAAAAATAAAAAAACAAAACATTTTTTGGGGGTCATATAAATATCCACAGGGTTGTTGAACTCAAATTACATGGGGGGGCCACCGGACAGGTCGTCGTGGGGGCGTTTGAACACCCCACAGGAAGAAAAATAGATTGCCAAACTGCAACAATATCCACTCGGCGGCTGAGAAACCGGCGTTTCCTTCTCCTTCCTCTCGCACACGGCGCACTGTTCCGCATGTTCAGCGCTTTAACGACGCTTGGCATCATATTCTTGTGGAGCGCCGGCCAGAGGTGGCAGAAAAATGACATATGAAATAATTTAGCGTAGCTGATGAGATTGGCATGCGGTCGGATTTGGTCTGGTGCGTGCGGGACGCCTGCTGCGCTCGGCAATAACGAGGACATTACAGTAAAACACAAACAGGGTTGTGCGTGTCTGACATCTCAGGACGGCTCGGCCACCAAAAGGCAACTGGCCACCGACGGAAGGAGCTTCTCTCGTCCTCTCGACCTCTCGAGGCCGGTTTCAGCAACGCCATGAGGAGGCGCGAGGTTATTCTTTGCATCTGGACAGGTATGATTACTTGTCAGGGAGAGCAATTCAAGAACAGCGTGGAGCGATTAGGAATACTTTCTTTCTTTGCCCCCCCCACTGAGAGTCTAATCGGCGGCACGTTATCTCCGTCTCCTCCCATCGCTCACACATGTGGACGTCACGGAAACCATATGTGCACAAACACAAACAGGTGAACACGCAGGAGAAGTAAGAAGAAAGAAAAAAAAAACAGAAAGGAGCCCCGGCACGAGCTCAGGATGGACGGATGAAAAGGAAGATTCGGTTTTTCCACATCAAAGGCTTCGCGCTGGGAGATTCCTCTCTTTCTCCCAACGAGTCTCTTGTGACTCTCATGAATAAATAATAAGGGGTAAACCTGGGAAAACAAAACTTTTTGACCTCTGAACCCTTGTGTCGGGGTCACAGTTTGCACCTGGAAGACTTCCCACAGGAAGCGGAGGTCTGTGTGCAGGCGAATGTGTTACTGCGTCACGTACGTGTTGCCAGACACTCGACTGTGCATCTCATTGGTTGAATTGGAGTTCCCATCATGCCTTTGACTTATGGCGATCAGTCATAACCTGAACGTGTTACACCCTCCTGTTTTTTTTTAAAGGTCAGAAAAGATGGGACTACACCGTCAAGTCTTATTCTACAGTTGGTGTCGGGGAAAAAAACAAGATATTGGAGAATAAATGTGAGAAAGAAAAGTAAGAATTACTAGAACCCTATAAGACGCCTGGTGTCCACTGACCAATGTGAGACATTTGTTCATATTGTGGGACTATAAAACGTATAAAAACGTCACAGGAAAAGAAATCAAGGGTGAACTTGTTGCCCTCTACCAAAGGATACGTCTGCTTACTCTTTTTCCAGCAGGCCCGTAGCAATTGCTCGGGTGGGTTTTTTTTTTAATTCTCTGTGACAGCTGTGCTGGCTCGGCGTGAAATGAAAAAGAAAAAGCCCACAACGCAGCACATTGCTGTCCTACAGAGCAGGTGGGAGATCTTGCCGCACACATGCACTCTGAGATTCCTCCTCTCTGGTATTTTTTTCGAGATAATTCCCCTCACTCCCCATCCGCTATTCCTTTTGAACATCTCGGTGGTCCAAAACTTGTTTTCGTTTTAAGACGTTTGCCTGGACCGGTCGGTCGGTCGGCCGGTCGGCCTCTGCCACGGCAGCTGAGTTAAGGCCTCGTTGGCTTTACGGAGCCCCGCGTTCGGGGTGAGAGGACGGCGAGAGAGAAGCGGAGAGGTCCAGATTCCAGCCGCTCAGCTCTCCGCCAACGGACGTGTCCAGATGGCCTGGAGAGAGAGGGCCTTTGACCGAGGGACAAAGAGACACTTGTGAACGACCAAATCTAACTCTCACACACACACACACACACACACACACACACACACACACACACACAGCTGTGAAGCGTATTGTTCGTCGGGTCGGCTGTTAGCTCCTAACACTGATGGAATGTTTGACTGTCCGCCTCTTGCGCCCTTGAGACATGATGTCACTCCAACAAAACGTCTTTTCAAAGAGAAACAGCCTTTTTTATGTGAGTAGGGGGCCACACAAGGAAAAGAGAGGGGGGGGCAAGGAGGAGAGGAACACGAGAGGAAGAGACATAAATGCAAATAATGTGTAAAAATGATTGTCGTAATAAAGTGGCTGGTTTGATGGCAGTCGTGACAACCCATTAAAGTGGGGCGTAAATTCACATTTTCGCACCATTGATACGGGGGAATGCAGAGGGTGTGACGCGCTGTAAATGTGTAGAGCAAAAGCACACTATTATAGCTTTACTACGGATTTATTACTGAGAATAATTACTGTAAGTGATGGTACGGAGGAGTGGTGGTACGGATACTAAAGAGAGAGCAGTAATAGTTAGACACTTTTATGGAACGACGCGGTACGTACCTTTAAATATTCCCAAAGTGGAAACTGCACCAGAGAGAACGGGATCTGAAAAACAAAGTAAAGTTTTAATCGTCAAGGATTACCTCAGGAGGGTGTAAGTTTCATCTTTAACCTCTAATCTCCTGCACTTGTCATTCCTGCCACCTTTCTCTGTTTCCTCTTCCTCATCTGACTGCTCCCTTGATCCTTCTCACTGCTGATGATTAATGAATGAGACAGGCTGTGGTCTGGCAGTCCTGAATGGATAGATGAATGGGTGGATGGGTGGATGGATGGATGGATGGGGCAAACTTGAAAGGAGGAGCAGGGGGATGGAGGGATGGAGGGAGGGCCCTGGAGGGATAGTTGGAGTGCGGGTGTTGCTACTGGAAGTGCTAAATCGCCGAAGGAAGGATGTTACAGCGGGAGGAAATCAGCGGCAGTGCCAAGGCAACAGGCAAGTGACACACAGACACACACACACACACACACACACACAGACGGGCATGCCCTGCAGACACATACAGAAAGCAAAAAAACATACTCTTTCACTCATTTGAGAGACACAATGCAGACACACATTCACACACACACACACAAACACACACACACACACACACTCATACACTTGGAACGGAAGAGCGGCTACAGGAAGGGAGAGAGAGAACAAAACCAAAAACCAAAGAGAAATAAATAAAGTGACACTGCGTGGTGTCAGCGGTCTTGGATCATTCCAGCAGCACAAAGACGACCCACAACCTGTGTTTATGCCTCTTAATGTGCTTATAAAGCACTCGGACCAGAGGAACTCACCTCATACAAACACTCAGGAGATTAACTTGCATGCATCTGCATGTGCTCCGAGAGCTGAAAATATTATTTTATATTTTTCAACTTCTTTTCAATGACCTGGAGTCAAAGGGCATAAATCTTTTTAAAAGAGCATTAATACAGCGGACCACAGCATGTTATGTTTCTGTAACCGACGGCATTAAAGGAAAGCCTAAAATATGCCGCTCAAGCTTCCGCTTCTGGCACACAGAACTAAACAAAACCTGGCTCACAATTCCTGCATATATGGGACAATGCTAAAAGGCTAACGCCACATGTTGCAAGCATAAAGTCAGCATCCTCATCTGAGAATATGTGTATCCGCTCGAATTCAGGCGTCCACGCTGGGGGATGTCATAGTCCCGAGCGGGAGACCGTTGGAGCAGGCGAACAAGGTTCTACAAATGATCGGCTGCACTAGTGACCGATGGGAACGGCCCGATCGATTCTCGCTCACAGCGCATGCAAACAACTTCACACCACAACCAGAGCTTCCTGGGGCCTCATCCAGATGCCAGATACCAGTTTCAACGGGTGTGGATTCAGGTGCTGAAGCTCACAGGCACGTCGGAGGAGGGCTGGCGGTGAAACAGCTGAAAGGGGGTGTCCTTTCTCAATGCACTGGTGTGTACACAGCGCGCCATTAATAAACCAGATCTCAGGCCCTCGACACTGCGTCGCCTCGCCGAGTGGGGAGTCGATCGGATGAATAGTTGGAGAAAAAACAAAGAAAGGCGGACAGAAAAATTGAGTCTTCATTATTGTTCGGTAAAGCCAGAATGGTAATTCACTAAATGTCCCAGTGGAAGTGGGACATTTAGTCTTTCTGGACATACAGCAGCAAATCCTCTGCGTCCTTGGCGATGGCGTGAACGCAGTATCTGATGTAGGCCTTGTATCCAGCCCCCTGAAAGTGGAGTATTATAACTTCCTCCGCATGTTTTCCAACTGCGGTGAGATAAGAGAGCTTTCGAAAAAGGAATCAAAGTGCACGTGTCTTTTATGACCCTGGCCAGGTGGACTGGAGATGGAATAGAGGGGGGCGCCGGGGTTACAGAGACGATTACTAAGTGTAAGTTTAACATTTTGCACTTGTATAAATGGAAATAGCTCATAGTCAAGTGATTCTATTCATGTGAATGAGAAAGCTTTTTTTTAGTACTGGATTCGTTTTTTGTTTCTTGTAACCGTTACTTTTTCAGTTTGAAATGTAGTGGAGAAAAAAAGAGAAGGACACATTGGTTCCTTCAGACAATCTGGAAAAAGCGATCCACAAATGACACGTGAGCAAATCACTGTGGTGCTATCCCCCCCCCCCCCCGGTTTTAATGTGCAACCAATCCAATGCTTTAACCTGATGTTGGCGTAGTGATGGAAGGAGATGACAGACACAATGAATCGCTCGGCGGAATGAGAAATGGAGAAAGGCAGAGACAGAAAAAGGAAGTGGGGAAGAAAGGGCATTTTTTCCCCTTTCCTCTCCAAGTTCGATGGCGATACATAAGTCAGTTACCAATGTTGTCCCACCTACAGTGCGTCACACCACTGTGAGCATCTCAATCAATCAAAAGTTGTTTTAATTTCATTCCAGCTAAGAAATGCATGAAGTGTGTTGAATGAAATTCACCACAACGTCGATCCCCGTTGCAACTTGCTCTAAAAACACCAGCGAGACACCTCAAAGCAACCCGAGGGAGCGCGTTTTGTTTTCACTCTTGATTCTCTGAGGTGTGGCAACATTGAGGACGGACTGATGCATCAACATTGAACTTTGGGTTCGAGTGATCTTTCTTCATTTAGAACTGCTGTGACAGGAAGGTTACGAGCGGAGATGTCCAAACGGCGTTGAAATACGTTTAAATCGCCTGTGTCCATTCCAGGTTCCTCCCTGCGGTCTGGCGATGAGCATCAGGGACGCCACACCCATTGGAGCTGCTTGTATTTTGAACCGTTCATGGTAAAATCACGGACCATCAAAAGTGTGGAAGTAATTGGCTCCAGGGAAAGGCAAAAGGCAGTTTAAACTGCTGTTGTGTTAAGGCGATACTGCTGTTAACAAAGACTTTATTTGTTTACTGTTGAATAAAAGTGCCCAACACTACTTTGTAATTCCATGTTAAATCAGACACTGTGGGAACTGAAATGTAAGACTTAGGAATACTTATCACAATGACACTTGCCAACATGATATCCTAAACTAATAGAAGTCAATGGATGTGGAAGTTATTCAGACAGCTGCACTGCTATTCTGTGCAGCTTGTGACTGAGCGGCTCAGCGCATCGCTTGGGGACACTGTGACACACCTGTTTGTAAAAGGTTGCAGGTGCAGAACCTCAAGTCAAAAGCGAGACATTGTCTCTGACCGGTGGACGCATGCTTTTGTTGGTCTGCTTTGCACTGCCTCAGCTGCCATTGCCTATTCGGCGGCGTAAAGCCTTGCCAAACTCGCCACGTGTGCAAAGGTGTGTCAGGCCACACAACAAAGCAGAAAGTCTACTTACAAGGCCAATAAGAGAGAGGGTGTTTTTTTTATGGTTTCAGCCCATCACTTGGAGGACAAAATGTGTGGCTGTTATTCAAATGGCCAGTGAGCAGAGGAAATCGCTACTCTGGAGGCCGAGCGGCGGTGCTGTTTATGTCCGTGAGAACCGCTGAGGTTTCCCTCCGGCTGCCATAACTGTGCTAGCTCACTCAGCTCCAGCTCCAGCCTATCAGGGCCCTCGCGTGGCCATGTGAGCGGTGACAACGGTAACCAGGCAGAGACACGTTCTTTATGGTCTGCAAAATGCCCCACTTGGAATAAAAGACTTCTCGGCTCTATTTTTGTAATGTCTTGACAGGGAGGACTAATTCTTTGAGTTTTGCATCGTTGTTCATCTGTCTGGTCCTCTGTGTCTGTCTTTAGTGTCCATGTTGTCTGGTCCTTTCACACATCTGGCTGTCAAAAGCACTGTCAATATTCTTCTTCTTCACCACCTACTTCAAACCTCCATCAAACTATTTTCTCCCCGTCTACCAATCATCCTTTTTTTCCACTCACTTTCTCTGATGTGTTGGTTGTGTTGTGGCAACCTACAGTGAAATAGTGAGGATCACAATCGGTCCGATCTGAGGTTAGAGTTATCTTCTGCCTTGTATACCTGTTTGTCATCAAACCATGCCAAAGTATCACTCTGAAACTTGGCAACAACGTTGAAAAATGTGCTCCGGGAGCTCAGCAGCATCTGCTTCCCAAAGCTCCCAAACATTTGTGTCATCCAGATGGCCTCAAGGAACCAGATTCCACTGCTGGGAAACACATGAGCAGCTCACACAAAGATCTGCTATCCTGCATGAGTGTGCTTGCTTTTTTGTATGAATATGTCAGCATACTTAATCATAGTTCCGCAGATGTGAGTGTGAGTGTGTGTGTGTGTGGAATGTATGTTAGCTGGCTGACACATTTTGCCACTGATCAAAGGTGACAGTGCCACTTGCTGTGACTGTCAGGTACTATATTATACAAATATGGAGATTGTTGTAGCTGTGTCACTTTGCTGACAGTGCTCCAGTGTGTGTGTGTGTGTGTGTGTGTGTGTGTGTGTGTGTGTGTGTGTGTGTGTATATGGGTCCTAACCTAACTGTATTAGTGGTAACTTTATTAGTATTCAGAGGGGCTTCGGGCTGTCACAGGTCCTTAGGCACTCAGCGGAGGGCAGGAAAAACACATGTCAAAATACATTCACATTGAGCCTGATTGCACGCACGCCAGTTGGCTGCAATTGACAAATGACATTTAATAGGTCATACTGCTGCCTCGGCATACTGATGAGTATTTAGGAGGAGCGAGAAAGAGGAAGGAAGGTGGCTCATACGATGGGGAGACAAGCAAAACAAATGTATAGATGCCAAAACAACCAGGCGTTATTCACCTTTTTCAACAAATCCCTTTCTCATTATTTAATGTTTACAGTTTTCCTTCTTAAAGACTACTGACCTGCTGGTGAAACACATTATAGTACCATTGAGAGCTAGCTGGTACCATTCACCTACCATTAACCTGGCACTTACACCAGGGCCAAAGTAAGACCGAATCATCAGTAAGATTATTATATAATATAATTAACTGGAAAATTAGCACCAACAGACAAACACTTGGTCGATCGTTTGAATTTAAATGAAAAGTTAATTGCTGATCAATATTACATGACTACCACGCCACATTATATTATCAGAACCTTCTCACTGGGTACAA